AAGAGAGAGGCTCCATCCAAAGTGGGATGGATGCCGTCTCTCCTGACACACAATTAGCTAATTTATTAATGAAAACTTTAAACATCCAGCCATCATTGCAGTCAGCTTCTCCTGGGGTTCTTGTAAATACCATTAGGAGCACTAGGAGGAGCCAGAGGAACCTGATTTTTTCACAGATGTCTGTCAGATATAGTTAAACTAATATGACAAAAAAGTTATTTTTATTAAAATTACCTACTGCAGCTTTAAGGTTCTGTTCCATTCAGGTCAAACCGAGTCACTGGAATGGCTCTGCTACACGAAATGGAATGGAGTCCTAATAGTAGTAGTATCATTGGTAACACTCGTGTTTATCCTACTATGTCATTTCAAAATGGCTGTTGTGAAAAAGGTTTATTATGAAACATCAACCTTTGTACTGAATGAATCAGAGTGATAATTATGTAAGCGTTCATGAACCCCACCTTACTGTCAGTGGTATTTTGGATGATGTCGTTATCGGGGTCTCCTCCCTCTGAGCCGCTCTTCTGGTCGTCATCTTTCCCATCCTTCTCCAGGTCGTCCTCTCCAGATGAGATCCTCGACAGCTTGGAGGACTTCTGCCACAGACATACAGATCAGGGTGCAGGAACACTTTCGTCAGAATTTCCATTTCTAACAGGAAGAAAATGTCACCAGCAGTACATCATGCTTCGCAGGTTATAAATAAACACAGTTAGAAGAGGTCAATAACAATTCACAGTGTAAAGTAGCAGATTCATACATAACAATAATACATTATTACATAAACTGTGTAATATTTTACTGGTCTTAAGTCTTAAGTTTGAGGATGGTTTAAATAACAATAAACTAAAACATGAAGCAAAAGCCAAGTGTTTAACAGGCTTTACTATACATCAAATGGCTCTTTAACAAGTCATGGAAGTAGAACTGAAACTATGGAGGAATGCGTCTTCAGGAACACCCTCACTCACTCGCTCTAGAGGAGCATTGCATTGCAATAAAACATTTTTAGCATGTCCCCATGCACCATGCAAAGGCTGGCTGTCTTCTTGAAAGCTGTGTTGCCTGCTTCAGAGAGGAGGATGGTGCTGGGGTGCTAGGGATACATAAGCATGACTTTGCTAACCTGGCATAGGTGAGGTATCTATTCTCTTTAGCCTTCCATTCTTACTTGGCAGTTCAGATCCTCAACTTCCCCTTCTCTTCTTACCTGCTGGTTTCAGAATTGAGGACTGAGTCAAGTAAAGAGAGCTGTAGTAATGGTGGAGGTGACACTGTCACTGCTGCCACTAATTGATGAATGCAAGCAAATTGTTTCACTGGTTCATAAACTATTGTGTGTGTACCACCAGTGGTACACAGCTGCTTCTAGTGGTAACGTTGGTAATAGAATTTATTTATTTGAAAACATATAATGCTATCAAAATACTACAACATTTTGAATAAAAATACCTAAACTACCTATATATTTAGTTGTAATATCAGCCTGCTACATAGTCACGTTTAAGCACACACAAACGTCCATGATTAGTTAGGAGCTAAAATCTGAGGGTAAGATAGTCAGCGCAGGTCAAATGAATGGTTCAGAAACACTGCAATCATGGCACCAAACGGGAACTAAAGTGTAGACCACCACATTAACTCTGGTTCTTGAACCAGTTCCATTCAGGATTCAACAACAGTCAACAGTAAATAATTGTCCTATTAGGAATAAAGCTGGCTGCTGTGTGAACTGTCTGGAGCTGAAAAGGGCCGGCCTTAATGGTGGTACTTGGAGATATTTTCTCAGGTGGTCTGCAGTGGTTGAGAAACACTGTTCTAGTTTATTATAAATCTAATCAGCGATCATCACATTTGAAAGTAGTAGTAATTCTGGTAGTAGTAGAAGCGGTGGCACAAACCACCCCATAAAACCATACAAAATACAAGCATCAGTCATTAACTGCTTATAAAAAATGAAATGCTTCCAGAGCTCCATTTTATTTCATCACTGGTCACTATGCATGTATATGTGTGTGAGGGAGTGGGGTTGAAAGAGGACTGACAGAAGGTTGATGAACAACCAGGTGACCGTTACCTCCTCTCACCACCCCATACACACAGAGATCACATTTAATCTTTTCTCAGCTGAAAAGATTCTAGTGACCTTGTTCACCTCTTGTACGTACACACACACCCACACACCCACACACCCACACACACACTGTGTTTCAATGATGTGACAGGACACACACACATTGACAAACCACTCCCCAACAGCGCCACATTCCTTCAGATGCACCACATGTGCTGTACGTAATGGAGCCCAGTTGCTAGGCAACAGTGGTTGCTAAGTGAGGAGCAGGATGTGTGTGACTTTTTCAACCTGCTTTCATTTACAGCAGCGATGGCTTATGCACTAATACAGTAACACACTGTGGCAGTGCTAGTCTCTGCAGCACTCCATGCCTTCAAACCTGGAAGCCTTTCTTTTTCAAAATAAAGAAAAGGTCAAACAGAAGAGAATGGTGTAATACAGTAAGATCACCAGGAACAGAGGTTGTTAAATATGTTTGGTGGATGAAATCTGGACAAATATCACTTTGTGAAGCAATAGTCTAATTTAAAAAAAAAAACTGAAAAAATTTGCCAAGTTGCCCTAATTAAAAAAATCCTTAACTGGAAGCCTCAAACCTCTTTGCTGCCAATACGGTGTCCATAAACAGCTAGGTACCACATTGTAATATTGAAGTACTGCTCATAGGTCCCTCTGGAAAATATGCACCACATATAGGTTGGAGGATAAAGCTGCTTTTACTGTTAAGAAATCAAATGGAAAGACAAAAACCAACAATGTGTTAATTCATCTCTCTGTATTTTCTGATTTCCCTAATGCAGCTGGCCACTTTACTTTTTATCAACCAGGAGGAAATGGTGCATTTTCAGTGACACATTTGCTGCTCTAGGGAGTATTTCTAAAGGGACTGAACCAAAATAAACTACTGTTCATGGTAAGAAAGGACCATGTCACCCAGTGCAATAGTGTGGCTCACTGGTGAGTTTTTAATAGTTTTTTGGACAACAATGGAGCTCTGTGGCACAGAGCAAGAAGATATATTACATTCAAATGACCACTAATTGTCAACTGACTTGTCAAAATCTTTAGCAGCTACGGGGGAAGGGTCTATCTCGTCTCAGAGACTGTCTGAAGGTATGCGCTGTTATCCACATTTGGAAGATTAATTGAATCTAGGTCATAAAGACACGCACAAGAGACTCCTAAATAGTTTCTGGTGGGTGGTCAGGGTGGTAGCCAAGTGGAGGCTTATCCAGCATTCAAGTGTGGTCATTTGGAACAGGTACAAACACATGAAAAGTTGTCAGACAACAAGTCATGCAAACTAGTTTGTTTTGAAGCAAAAGAGACCGTGAGAGTGTCAGCCTGTTATAAATAATCACACCCCAACATTTACTCCTATGTGCCAAAATACAATTCCTTCAAACATCACAGGTCAATGATATGTAACACCGCTAATTCTTAATTCTTAAGTCTGCTGATAAGGCAGTGGATACTTCTGTATCTCTTGCCAGATGGCAGCTGGGGTGGGTACTGTCTTTTAGTATTCTTTGGTCAGGCGAGGTGTCTGCACAGAGCCCAAATGACACTAAAAGACAGCACCTACCCTAGTCACAGCCTGTTCATCCTGCTGCATTCTGGGAAGAGTTACAGATGTATCCGCTGCTGTACCACCAGACTATAGAGCAGCTTCTTCTTCATATTGTTTATTTAAACCAGTATGAATATTACTTGTGATGAGGCTACTGAGTATTAATTACGAATCATACATTTTATCTTTTGATACTTTGGTGCTCAATGTTTCTTTAAAATGAACTGAAGGACTGAATTGTAGAGAATCTAACTGATCTAATGATGGGTATGTTTAAACATTTATATTTGCATAGGAGATCTAAGCAGCTTAGAACTTGCTCAACTGGGTGACCCAGTGGGCTTTAAGCGGTATCCTTAAAATGATACCTCCACCGTTAATACCAAACCTCAAATAAGCAAAAATGACATGAGAGCTGAAGGAAAGATTAGTTCTCATAAAATCATAAAATCTATCCTCTAAACTGGTCATATAATTTTCAATCTGGTTCTAATTGTCACATCGTCTCCAGTGCTGAATCGCCCTCGCTCCTGTGTTAGCATGTTCTCCAGCTGAAGTTAAGTACCTTGGAGGTGGCTGTCTTTTTCCGTTTGGATCCGGTCTTGTCACCCTTCAGCTTCTCCTTGTCATCTTCCTCCTCAACGGAGTCGCCCTCTTCGCCCTCGCTGCTGCCATCAGCAGCATTACCCCCCTCTTCTGTTTCTGATGAACTCTGTTGGTGGATGGCCTGTATATGAAAGATGCCCATCAGCAGGAATGGCTAGTTCCACAGTAACTGACACGTCAAATATATTGTGATATTTCTTACGCTAACGCTATCTGCTTTGAACAACCCCTTCATTTGTGTCTTACAGTTTTGGCGAGGCAACAATGTGGCCTTTGCAATCTGTCTTCTCTGTGAACCACACACATAATAGACTGCTGACTGACCTGATAGCCTGTGAACTTGACTCCGGGGTTGTTCTCGATCTCCCACAGGCCCTCGTTGAAGCCTTTCCTCTTGTTGGACTTGCCAAATTTGTCTTTATACTCCTTGTAGGGCAGAAGATCCTTAGGCCCTAAGAATGCACTGAAGAAGGTGGAAGAGACGTTTACTACTACTGCTATTACTGAAACAGTATGGAAAACCACATTATGTTTCATGAGTTCAGTTCAACAGTAATCACAAAATAACTGGAAGTTTATAACAGTTTTTCGAGAACCCCATTAATTTTAAAAACTATTTGCTCATACACAGGCCTGGATATCAAACCTTAATACGATTTATCGTCCAGCTCTAATTTGATGATATACTTGCTGATCTAAATCAGGAAACTTTGGAACTCTAGACCAGTGGTTTCCAACCTGGGGGTCGCAAAGTCTTCTTGATTATAACAACCAAAAAGCTAATAGAACAAGCATCGGGGAGAAGAAGACACTGAAATTGTCAAAAAAAGGATGCATTTGAGTAAGTATGATTGTTAAAAATTGAATTAAATAAATAATAAAGACAGACGTTTGTATAAAAAGTTCCCAAAAATATCAGAAAAGTTCATCTCTGATCAATATTCACAGGAAATAATCTGCATTTAATATAATATGAAATATCCATAAAATATGTCGTTTAGTCAGGGATCATCAGTTCAGTCAATGATAGCAAAGAGGTCCCTGAAGGAAAAGGGCTGGGAACCACTGCTTTAGACTATATGTTATTCAAGCAAAGGTCTTTATTTAACACTGATGTATTTAGCAGTTTATCACATTTTGTTTAATGGAGAAAAAAAAGGGCAAAACCTGCTATCTGGGTCAGCACCTTTTTGGTGTCCCAAATTGATACTCATGAATTTGATAAGATGTAGTCTCCCTCTGATAAGATTTAAGTATTCCATAACTGTTTATACTGTAGAATGGTTCTATCTTGTTTATTGAGATAAGTTTCACCCAAGATATAATAATGACATTTAAATATCCCCACATTTTCCTGGGGATTTCCTGGAACACCCTTAAGAACACATGGGGTGCCCGAACCCCAGGTTGAGAACCACTGATCTAGCTCATATGATAACAGGTGGTGGTATTTAATCATAATCACACGACCCATTCTTCAAATGATAAAGTTGTTGGCATATCTTTTTTTATTTTGTTACTATTCAATGTAATTATACTAAACCCTTTAATTTCCAGTATACCATACTCTTACATTATGCTTAGTATAAAACCTCAAATAAGTGTATTAAATATTTAGTTAAATATTGAAGTATGTTGATGATGTACATCCTTGGGTGTTAATGTTATTACTAAAGTGAATCCTTTTTGGACTATATTTAACAAACTACATTACAAGATCATCCTTGTTTTCTCTTACTCTGCCTTAAAAAAGGACAGGAAAAAACAGAGAAAAAGAAAAATTTGTAATCATAAATTGCTTAAAGGAGCCAACTCCTTCAGGAACAACAGAGCATTATTCTGTGGATGAAGACTGTAAGATGTGGTTGAAAGCTCCAGAAAATGCTAGTGCACCTTGAGTTAAAATTATTTTGACAAGCTATTATTTCCAAGGTCAAGAATGAATTGCTCAAGCTTAAAACATGTTGCTTTTCGTAAACTAGGGTATTAAAGTGTTGTAAGGTACATAAGCATTTTCAAACAATCCCCAGCCCTACTTATACACCCAAAATCCAGTGGCAGCAATGTAAAAAACTATTAAACATCGTGCAATTGTATCACAACTCCAGTAATTGCATTAGTGAGTGTGACAGCTGCTTTCCTCCTAAACAACATCAGTGTGAGTGGAAGGCTGCACATCCTACGTTTCATGGGTCCCAAAGAAGAAGATGGGATACTTGTTGGCAGGTGGTTTGACAGCTCCTTCTGGAAGCTCATCAATCTGAAGGACAGAGAGAGAGAGGGAGAGAGAGAGAGAGAGACTGTTACTCAATATTTATCACACTCCTCCTAATGCTCATGCTTCAGATACATACAGGCTGCTACGGTGAAACTGACCTAAACTGTAAGACCTACTGTATACTGGTGCCAACTTGTTGTACGAGGTTCCAAATGGAGCCTGACTGCACACAGTAACTCATGATATGATACAGCCCATGTGCGCCACTGGATGTGAGGCCACGCTGTCTGCTATTGGGCGCTCACAGTGTATAACAAATAACATCATTCATCGCATATGAGACGGAGGTGTTACGGGTTACCTGAGGTCAACTACTGGCTCATTTATTCCGTGTGTGGCAGATAAATACATTACATTCAGTCAAAGACACATGTTGAACTAATGAGCGGAAAATATTAACATCAGAAATTGCGTTATAACTCCAGCAAGAGCTGAATGGAGCAGGAAACGTATTAAGAAAATGGAGCCCAATAAATGTTAAGTTTTTTCCTCATATTAAAACGTCTACGTTTTTAATCAACCTGGCTGGATACAAAGGCTTTTAAAGGACGTTTTGGTCGTCCGTAACAGAAATACGAAAACCAAACGCGGCTGTGGAGTCAGCCCCAGCCGGGCTCGGCGCACCGCAGCATCCCTCCAGTTCCCCCACAGAAGCAGCGGCCGTATTGTGTAAATCCACCCCGCCTCCCCGCGCTCCCAGCCCGGCCGCAACCCAGACTCACCCTCGCCGGCCAGTGCGGGTATCCCTTCATCTTAGCGAAAACCAAATCTCCTGCCGTGTATTCCCGCGGCCGTGGTCGAGCCATGTCGCTGGATATAAACTGGAGGTCTGGTATGACTTTAGAATCCTTTTGCGGTTCTCCCCGGGGCCCTCAACGCAGGGCTAAATTATCGACCATCAATGTTTTTATATCAAGACTGCAGTTTACACGGAAATAAATAATTAAAAAACGCGGAAAACGGGGCCTGGAAGAGGGCTATCCTCTTACGCACAAATTCAGGTGTAAACGTCATCGAGAATGGCCTAAGTTGGAGTAGGGTACCTGAAAGAAACGCAAAGTGTGGCAGAATAGGAGAGAGCAAACTTCCGGTCTTCGCAATAAAAACCAATGCTGGCGCACGTGCCTTGTATGTTTGTTTTGCTGTTGGTTTAAAAAATAAATAAAAAAAGATTGTTTACATTCACTGAATATGACAGGAATCTATGTTCTATTTAATTAATTGCTTAATATTTTGACCACAAATCCAAACTTAAAGCTGCAGTAGGTAGCCTACGTTTTGTAAAAAAATGTCACTGTGCTCTGACAGTAGAACATGAGACAGATAATCTGTGAAACAATCAGGTTCCTCTGGTTTATTCTAGCGCTCCTAATGGCATTTGTAAGAATCCACCAGCCTGAACGAAAACAACCAATCAGAGCCAAGAAAGATAAAGACGGGGTGGGGTTGGAAGCTTGATGATAGTTGATTGTTGAGTCTTATTCCCAGGGTCCCAAAGCATCTGTATTTGACGTCCTGGGAATGAGACTTAACAATGAACTATCTGTCTCACCTCTGATTGGTTTATTTTTGTTCAGGCCCGGTGGATTCTTGCAAATGCAATTAGGAGCACTAGAAGGAGCCAGAGGAACCTGATTGTTTCAAACATTATCTGTCTCATGTTCTACTGTCAGGATATAGTGAAAGTTTCAGCAGATATGACAAACAGTTATTTTTGTCATGTTTAAGTTACCTATTGCAGCTTTAACGTTTATCACATTGGAACAACAAGGGAGGCAGAGTTGTGTTGAGGGAAGACTAAAAAAATGTGTATGTACGTGTATGTGTTTTACTTTGAAAGTGATACGCGGAAGTCGTATTTTGTGTCTAACTTGACTCTGGTCCCAAGTTGTGTGTCAGTCAGGCAGACAGGCTGTGTGCCGCTCGGAGCCTGGAGACGCTTTACCGGAGACAGAAAGTAGCTGCCGGCGTGCGGGTCCGTGTGACACCTCTGCGGTCTCTGTCGGTCTCTGTCAGTCACTTT